GAGAGAGATGTAATGGCGGTGTAACCGCGAGAGACATAAATAAGTTTATGTGTCAGAACAGGTTTGATTCTGAACTGATTGTTTGGAAAGTATATTGTTCGTTTGAGAATTATACACTCACTAGACCTTTTTGGTCTAACRCTCAGTTGTTGGACTAACCTGTTTTGCAGGTCATCATACCTCGCAGGATAAAGAAAAAGGAAAAGTTTAGAATGAATGACATTTAGTTATTCAAACTGTATTATAAGAAAGTATTTTGTTAATCTGTATTTTGTAAACGATGTTATATTTTGTGTTATGAGTATGATGATGTGGATTATCGGTACATAGAATATGTGGGCTATTACAGATTTGGTTTGGCAAGAGGTGAGACGATGCAAAAATGAGGTTCCTTGGGCTAAATGGATTAGGTTTCATCAAAACATCTCAAGGCATGCTTGTGTTTTGACTTTTTGTTAAAGAAAGGCTAAGAACTCATGACAGACTAATGTTGATGAGGTTTTGGAATGTGTACTTTGTTGTAGTCATAGTGTCTTATGGTCACATTTTTATTAACTGTGACTGTACTAAAGAAGTCTGGGATATGTTGCTTGGTTTGATTAAAATGAAAGACCTCCTGGTGAATTTGGGGAATGACATGGAGTGCTGAGCTAGGTTTGTAAATAAGCCAAGCAGAGTTTGGGTACATGAAGCTATGCTGTTACTGCGGTCAAAATACAAAATATCGGTCAGGACCGATATTCGATATTTCGGTTATATCGGTGATATGTCGGTCCAAAATAGTGGTTAATATAATATTTCTTAGAATTATATATATATATATATAATATGAATGCATCCATAAACATATCATATGCATTAATTAGAGTTTAGAAATATAGTTTCAAAATCAAAACATCACATAAACAAGTCTCACAAAACAAAATAAGAGAAGTGTTCAAAAACGAGCTAATCGCAAGCAATAAGCGTGAACTGTGAAAGAACCGAGAAGATAAGAAGCATGAACTATGAAGAACTAAGAAGAGAAGAAGCGTGAGACCTAATATATGTGTTGACTGGTTGACCAAATAAAGAGGCCCAAAAAACTAAGCCCAACATGTAATAAAAAAAGCCCAAAATTTTGCCTTACAGAAAATCGTTATATCGGACCGATTTTTTCATCAAAATATCAGTGAAATATCAGCGATATTTTGACCGATATTTCACCACGGATATTTTTCCAGAGACTGATATCGGATATATCGCGATTTTAACATCATAGACATGAAGATTGGTGAAGGATCCCATATTCATTTATGTAATTTTTTAGATCATTGGCAAAATACTCAACACCATTGTCAATTCGGACTTGGAGTTGGGATTGGGACACATTAGCCACAAGCTTATGGAATTGTTTAACGACTTCACTAGACTCAGATTTGTTTTTGAGTAGGTTTACCCAGCAAGCACGAGTGTTGTCATCAATAAATGTAATAGATCATCGGGATCCATTGATGTTTAGAGTACGTGCTGGACCCCATATGTCACTATGGACTACACTAAATGGTTGAGATGGTTTGCAAGTATGGTTTGGTTAAATTTTCCAGGTTCGTTTTGCAAGAACATTGAACTTTCTGAGACCCCCTAAGGCCTTTATTGATAAATAGATTTGGGCACAAAGGATCCAAGTAATCAAAACTAGGATGACCTAATTATTGGTGCCATAACAAAACATTAGACTCGGACAGAGTAGAAAGAGAACAGTATTCCTATTGATGAGATTTGGATGGAGAACCAAGGAAATAGTAGAGACCATGGAAATCCTTAGCAATGCCAATCATCATCCCTGAAGACTGCTGCGAAAATTCACAACGTATAAAAAAACAGGTTACAACACAATTGTGATCCTTGAGGAGTCGGGTAAGAGATAGTAAATTAAAATGAAGGTTTGGCGTATATAAAACTGAATTCAGTTTTAGCTCACCGTAAATAAGATTCCCAGTACCAGTAGCACGATAAACCTTTACATAAGCAACTGTGATGGTAATACAATTGGTGGTTAGTTTAAAGCCTCTCAATAATTATATGTTTCCTGATTTATAATCAGAAGCACCTGTGTCTACGATCCATCCTTCAAGAAATGCTCTTCTTAAGAGAGACGTGATAGAGTATACTTACTTTGGTGTGCCCCATTACCTGCCAGAACTGCAAGAGGATTCTCAATACCTCCATTTGGGTGGCGGTGAAAGGGCTTGGAGATGAGATATTCTCTATAGAAGTCTCCTGGCATAGTGGTCCCCAAGTGGGGGGCTCGCACGACCGGCCAATAGACTCCTGACATATACGAAGAGTCATTTTAAAGAGTTATACTTCAGGGTTATTTCAAGAGTACAAGTCTGAAGAGTCATTCTAAAGAGTTAGATCACCGGAACTCTGAAGTCTGCTTTTTCAGACTTAGCTCACCCGAACTCTGAAGTCTGAACTCTTAAGTCTCTTTTTCAGACTTAGAAGTCTGAACTCTTGTCTTTTTTTAGACGTAGAAAAAGAAGTTTTAAGTCTTCTTTTTCAGGCTTAGAAGTCTGAATTCTGAAGTCTTCTACAAGTTTGAAGAGTCATTCTATAGAGTTAGCTCACCCGAATTCAGACTTAGCTCACCCGAACTCTAAAGTCTGAACTCTGAAGTCTTTTTTCCCGACTTAGAAGTCTGAACTTTGATTTAGTGGGACTGATTTTATACTTCAGAGTTATTTCAAGAGTACAAGTCTGAAAGGTCAATCTTCAGAGTTTTATTTCAGAGGTATTTCAGAGTACAAGTCTAAAGAGTTATTCTTCAGAGTTAGCTCACCCGAACTCTTAAGTCTTCTTTTCTAGACGGAGCACCATGCAGAGCCTCTGCATAGTGCATGCAAATCTTCTGGCTTGCCTATACAGAGCTTTGAAGTCTGAAGAGTTTTACTTCAGAGTTATTTCAAGAGTACAAGTCTGAAGTCATTCTTCAGAGTTATACTTCAGATTTATTTTCAATAGTACAAGTCTGAAGAGTCATTCTAAATTTACTTCTAAGTTTAAATTCAATTTACTGATATAGTTTCATTTCTAAATTTAATTTTTATTCGAGGGTTAACTTCATTTTAACTAATTATTGATGTATTCATTTCTAAATTCAAGTCTGAAGGGTCATTTTTCAGAGTTATACTTCAGAGTTATTTAAGAGTACAAGTCTGAAGTAGCATCGAAAGTCTGTAAGATAAGTTCGTGACATGATTTAATTTTTTTCAAATTACCCCGTGTAATACACGGGATCGAACCTAGTTATTAATATATATAAATATATATAAGACAAATATTATATATAGATATAAATAAAAGTTTATCGAAGTTATATATATTAACAGCGGGTTAGATTAGGTGAGCTAGGCCAACCCGATTTCAACCCTCTTAATTGGCGGTTTAGCGTGTTAGGTTTAATTGGGTTGGGCGAGCTAAGCGGTTTGATGGTCTTTTGTACACCCCTACCCCTATTTCAAACAATATGTGCCCTACCATACCATCTAAATGGCAACCCACCAATTTGAACCCCACAAGAAATCATGAACTTACAAATTAGTGTACTACATATCACACTTGTGTAGCATATCCCAAGCAAAACTATGCCTCCAACTTGGAAATTGGAATGTGTAACTGCAGATGTGGTTGGAAATGTAAATAATGCCAAAAAGCCTACAATAAGGAGATGAAATAGAAGTTCCGAACTATTTTCATGTGGGCATACAACTTTCATGCCTCTTACCACCTATGTTGTTGATAGGGTGCAATAGCGGCTCGCGGTCTTAAAAAGAATTGTAGAATTGCGGTGGTCAAAGCGGTCCTAAATAAAGGTGTCGAGAATTGCGGCATGATTCACCGCTAAATGGCCGCTTTTTACACAAAATATCAGTTCGCATAACCGCTATTTGTGGTTGGGTTACCGGCTTATATTTGACCTATTTAAAAGATTTGGGCTTTTATTTTGGACTTCGATTTTTTTTTAATGATTTAAATAATTTAATCCATCTATTTATCTTTAACGGTCAACAATTATAAGATTTAGGTTTTCAACATCATCGAGCACTCGACCACGTTTCCTAAATACTTCCACCTTCATTCTAGGTCTATTAGTCAATTTCTTTTTTATAATGATTACACATAATATGTTAACATATCCTATTTTATGAAATATATATATATATATATATATATTATAATTCTAAATATTTATATGAACGCCTATAACCCTAAACCCTAAACCCGTAACAGCATAGCTTACCACCGTGACTCGTTCAAGGGAAGGTCCACCAATGATTGCCATTCTCCCCCATTTTACTTTTTTCATCATGTGGGAATTAATTCTCTCAAAATCTCTACTTGCAAATCCAACGACCCCATATCCTCACGCTAGACAATTTCAATTTGCTAAAAATATCAAGTCCTTATTCCTTAAGTTAGTCAAATTAAAAGAGAAATTGAGGTATCAAATGCGATGGATAACCAAAAGTTTATTGGTAAGTTGAAAAATATGTTCCCACTTACAGTAAGATTATCATTAGGAAGTTGAATACATTTTCTCATCAACAATAAGATTGTGTATTTAGAATCATAAACATTAATATACATTTAAGAGCTTACAACAACCAATTCTAAACAAAACTCTAGACAGGGGAATATGAAAATTAAGAAAGCACATACCGTTCGCATTGTCGATTGCCTCAACAAGTACCAAAAGTTCCTCTAATGCACGACGATGGTCTTCCAAACTCAGAGATGAATTACTCAAGTCATCAATTGCAATTCGCATCAATTTTGCGTCAGATGGCATTTCTAATTTCTCTACGAGTTCCTAAATGTACAAAAACACAAATGGTAGACTAAAATGACAATTATTGTGAAATTAGGACTAGCATTCTACATAAAAACATATCAAATAAAAAAAGTAAAGACACGGAAGATTTGAAATTTTTTTGGAGAGAACAAATTTGACCACATAAACATGTAGTCAACATATCTTGTCTGGCCCTGGCCCTTTATTTACATAGTGAAGAAAGGCAAAGACTCTTAAGCTATCTAGTCAACACCCCATCTTCGGGCAGCCTTTAATCATCTCGATGAGCCTTCCCCTTGTGTATGTGTTTGTTAATTTGCATTCTGTGTGTGAGAGACAAAATATGTGGAGAAAGACTATGAGCAATCTAAACTTCAAAAAGTTAAATCATATTTGCATGGAGCACAAGTGAAGCGGTTGGGCTACCCATTTATAGATTGATTTGGGATTGTTAAAACCTAAGTCAGGTAGCGTACTAGGAAGTATTGATATCGGTGTTTGACTTTAGATCAAACACCTACAAAGATACCTAACAACCTATTAAGTCGCATGACATTCGTAACAACTAAGAGATTAAGCTAAAGTCAAATTGCATGAAGTACTTACAAGTTGCACGGACATAAACAGAGTAGGTGTCTTCACGGTCCAGTTGGGCAGTTTAACCCCCCAGACCACAAACCAAACCGTAGTGGCGATTTGGGAAATTTCAAACCGAGCAGTTTGACAGCAAGGGACCAAACCAATCAACAAAAAGCGTGTGACCGGTTTAGGCCAAACCGCCTCTTATGGGGCTTTAAACTAAAAAAACGTAAAATCTATATCCAAAATGAAATTTCTAGCAATTACACATTACTAAAAAAATAGTATATCGAATTATAAAAGAAATCTTTTGGTGTTTTTTCCTAAATACTTCTTAGGGAGTTGTTTCTCTTTTGTAAAAATAGGTAAGCCCATTTGAAAAAAAGTCAAGTCTTTGTATTTTTAATAAAGTTTTTCCAAGGGGTTCCATCCCCTTTTTCCCAAAAGAAGTAAGTCTTCCGGATATGAGAATTTGAACATTTTTTGTTCAATTTAGTTCATTCACCAGCACTAAGGCAAGTTGACCTTTTTGCAAGGGTATGTGACTAGGCAGTTGGATATTTTATGGAGAACAGGAAAGGACTATAAAAAAGCAGAAAAACATGTCAACAATTAAAGAGAACGTTTGTGGAATGTCTCAATGGAATGTCTCAAACTTGAGAAGAATAACCAAGGAAAGAGAATCACTAATCAAGTTTGCACAATTTCTGGTAGTACCTTTCAGGAGACTGAATGGTAGAAACTTTATACTGAATTTATATATTTAAGAACTTCAGGTAAGGATTGTATCATAGAAATGCCACGTAAGCAGGTGTAAAGGAATGCACATACATACGTATATATATGCACACGTGTATCAGGATGTATTGGAGTGTTATAGCACCACATAGATTACCAGGCCCCTGATAGAATCTATAGTGTTTTAGAACATCTGAATTCTTTGATTGTTCCATTCTAATCACTAAGTAAGCATATCAAGTATGATTCTCACCTTGATTTCCTTTTGACGTTTTTGTAGCTCATCTGTAGACAACTGCTGAACATCATGAGCTTTTAATTCTAACTTTGCAGGATCTGAGTGGCCTGCACAAATGAGCAGAAAGAAGCCACACCCAATTAGATAAATATAACATTCACAGCACTACAAGCTCTTGTTAATTATAAATAATAAACTAAAATTAAACAATCAGCAGCTCCAATGTCTACCCTACCAAAAAGTTGCAGAATTCCAGTCATAGAAAGAAAATGAGTGCATCATAAGCATATGAGTTATACAATATCGTCAAGGTTGGCTGCTGCTAGTGGACATCCTTGTAAATAAGTAAACTTCAAGAACTCTATGATTTGAAAGAAATATAACAATTTCCACAGATTGAACAAAATATATAGATAAAAGATACTGCTACAGGAAGTTTATAGATAGACACATGAGCATACATTTTATTTAGAACATAGTTGATAACTTAATTTCCTTTTACGAGCACTTAAGAGTCAGCCGAAACCTCAACTATTATGTGCAATTTACAATGGAGAAAGGGATGATCTTAACCTGCTTGAACCAACTTACAAACCGCATGTGGGCTTCCGCTGAATGCAATGTCATCAAGTGATATTGTCCAGTGTCTTAATCACAAAAGATTAGCAAATGCTATAACTCTGAAATTGGCACCTTGATTTTTAGTAGTATTAGGTAGAAGAATGTTCATTCTAAGGAACAGTAGAGATAGATGACTTGCACCAATACTAGGGGTCAAATGAACAATACATCGACAACAAGGGTTTGTGGAAACAGATTCCACTTGCAGGCTTGCTACAATATCAGGGTTTTTTTGTTTTTGGGTCAAAAATTTGAAGCTATACTCTAATGCAAGTGTAAAAAAGGAAATGAAAAGTAATAAACAGCAAGATGAAGGGCCATACAAGGGTTTCGTTATGGTGAGGCTTACAGTCAGCAAAAGCCAAAAGGGCAGGTCATTAAGTTTCCAGACCAAAAAATGCGGCCAACTAAAGGCAGATGCACTTAGAATACAAGTGGAGCGACTAACAAAGAAGAGGTACTAAAATATCATGTGGCCTTTTCACGTTTGTTAATTGACCATCACCTTCTCACTAGAAGGTCCAACGGTTTAAGATGAAAGTGACTAAACCACCAAAAATGATGTTGCCTCCTCTCTTTAATGTATCCAACCCTAACCATTTCCCAAATAGCGTCATTTCTTATCATATCAATCCTTGTGTAGCCACGCATCTGCCTCACTATTTCCATCAGCTGTTAGAGTTACAAACCCAAAAGAAGTGAACAAAGAGTGGCAACTTTGTAATATTCTAGTTTTCAATCTTCTACACATTAGCCTTTAGGCGTTCTTCTTATTTGTAACTTTTCTAGTCCTAAATCCAATTATATTCACAACAATGGATCCCATATGATAACATGGTTTTAAATTAATAAAAATATAGTTCCAACAAGCATGATATTGGAAGTCTCGGATGACCTAGGGTAGAAATTTTAGCTGGAAATGGTTAATCATAATTGATAATGTCATCCCATCCAATTTTTTAGATGGCCTGCTGGTCTCTTATCCCTGATGAATTTATCCATGGAGTTAAATCTCCTTGTCCGCAACACCACCTAACCGTCGGGTGCCTTGTTCCACCAATTCCCTGCCTCGTGCGATGCATCTGACCGGAGTTGCTTATAAGATAAAGCAACCATTGTTGACGCTCTGACTGGCAAGCAGAACTATATGGCAACAGACCTCCCACTTATGAGTTTACATTCTATACCCAAAAAAAAAATCTCTGGCAAGGAGATTTCTGGAGAACATTTTGAAAAAATGAGAAGAAAAACAAAAGTGATTGGGTAAAGCAGGATGTAATCGTTGGCTGTGTACAGATTTAATCGCTAATTACCAACTTTTCGTTGGTTTTGTAGAATGTTACAAGGTCTATCGGTGTTTTGCAACTTATATATCATGTATTATACAACTCAATCCAACACCATTGACTAAAGTTTTTTTTTTCTTTTTTGAACTAGAATTTAGGGGTAGAATATAATCAGAGAAGCGACATACAAAAAAACAATCGACTTCTGAGGTAGTAAGGTTCTTCTCATAGACATTAGAGAGGCATGTTGCGTTCCAGCATACCTATTGCCCACTGTAACATCCCATCGAGCGAAGGAAACCCGCCGTCGAGTTCATCATGGTCATCCAACGATTCGTCAGTTTCAGCGTTTCGAACCAGATGTCCGTCACCATTGGCAGTTGACCACAATAGGCCTCCAGAAGCCGACTTATTAACCCGCTCAGCCCTCGAGATCTCTACCGCCGTCACCACTACCATCAAGGCAAAGGTCAATAGACTCCGTCCCATTCTAAGTTAGAACTAGATCCAATGACTACGCTGGTTTCCCCTGTGATCTCTCGCTCTGTCTCTGATGACTGATCTGCTTGTTTGGGGCCTGATTCAGGAAATCGCTCGTTACCTGGGTTATTTTCTCTTCATATTGTGCCTCTATACCCTAGGTATTTTCCCTGGCAAATAGAAATCTGACCACGAAGCTTATTAGATAGAGTGAATTAGGGGCGGTTTGCTAACATCTAATTACCGACAGGAGGTTCTTAGTAAGAGGTGAAAGAGACGAGAGAAAGGAAAAGAAACGAGGGAGGGAGGGAGGGAGGGAAGGAAGGAAAAAGAAATTGTAAAGAAGGGAAAGGAAGGGATAATATAATTTTTTTATAATATATTTTTTAAAATTTATTTATCTATACTTATCTATACTATTTTATAATGCATTTGGTTAAAACTTTTAAAAACTCTTAAAACCTTTAAAACTCTTAAACTCTTAAAAACAACATTTTAAGCATATGGTACAACCTATTAAAGCCATATCCCTAAAACCAATCCTTCTTATCGCAACCCCTAAAACAAATTCCCCATTTTATCGTCATCCCTAATCTAAACCCAATCCCAATCGATTTTCAAACCAATGACCAGATATTTTGATGAAATCGATTTGGGTTATCGCTTCAAACAGATTATGAGATAGATTTTGATTTCGATTTCTATCTTATTCCTAAACCCAATTCAACTTTCTCGCCATCCCTAATATAAGGATCGATTTGGGTTATCGCTTCAAACAGATTATAAGAGATTTCGATTTCTGTTGACTCTGTTTACAGTTCGAGAATTTGCTATTATCAGTATACGGATTTTGAGGTACGAAGTTTCTTATTTTATCTTTTCTTTATGTTTCTTAGGGTGTCGAAATTAATGACTTCTGGAATTGTTCTTGTTTTGAACGATTACTGTTTAATAGCTTATAACTTTTCTGTTAGGATCTAACTATCTGGGTTGGTACATTGTGTAACAATCAGTCAATCACGCATTAATTTGATTGTTTTTGGATTTTAGAATTTTTCATCGAAAAGTTACTATTCTAGATTTGATTCGGTACTACCTCCATTCCATAGATTTGTGTTGTTGTCTTTATCTTTTTGGGTTTGCATCTTACTGGTGAAATAGAATTAAAGTTGGAGCTTTGTGTGTGTGATTTTTGTGTGTGTGTGATTTGTGTGTGTGTGGAGGGTTTAATGACCCTTTCAATCGTGTATTGCATTGCTGTTGACCGTGGAAAGTCATATGCCCCAACATTACGAAATACTATTGGTAAGGACCAGTAAATCTTTCCTCTTCAGGACACTACAATAACTATTGATTGTAAGCCGTTTTGTGAAATGTCACTTAGATGACATCAGGTTGTCTTATTAATGTTTTATGTTGTACTTCTATTTAAACTCTCAAAATACATGGAACATGATCTTTCTGGTCTTGTTGCTGTTTTCAAACTGAGTTCAACACTTTTTAATGTCGCTGAGTTTAACGCTTCAACACTTTCTAATGATTGTCTACTTCTGCAGGTCTTAATCAAACATCTAAACCACAACTCCACAAGTTCCAACAACTACGGCTCTACCTTCTACTGGTCGTGATCTCTTGACTTCGATTTGTTCACTAAAGCGGTGAAGCTCCAACAACTACGGTTCTACCTTCCATACAGGCTACAACACAAGTAGAGGAGGTATTGTTGCTTCGCCTGGTCAAAAGTATTATCTTCACTCTGAAGGCAATATAAACTMTGTCTGTTAAACCTTACAATTCAAAATTGATACGATCTTTCTTTAGATTTCAACATTAACATGTTGCATTTGCAGCCTTTGTTGCTAACGTAAATTTAAATATAGTGAATCACTTGAAAATATGTACGTTGGGATCAAAATACAAACTTTACCATGTTTTCGAAACAAAAGGAATAAGTATCAACCACTATAGGTTGTTTTGGTTTCATTTGACATTCTTTGTTGAAGGAAGCAGTTATTCAGGTAATGCAATTTCAAAGAACCACATAATCAATTGCTTAACTGACTCGAACTCCATCTGCATAGTAATGCCCTCTTATCTGAGAAAAAAGAAGCATGTTAAAAGAAGAAAAAAGAAGCATGTTAAAAGAAGAAAAAAGAAGCATGTTAAAAGAGACATAACTAGCTCAGTGTGAACTAATTACCTTAAGATCATTGTTCATGTTCTCAATAATGAAGTCAAATACAGCAGTCCTTTTGAACTCAAAGGCATGCCACTGAAGAAGACATCTATAAATAACACTAGCTGCCACTGGTTTTCCATCCTTGAATCCCAGGTTTTCTTTAATGCACCATGCAAGGATGTCAGAGTTCTCCTGCACCAAAAGTTTCAGAATGGAAATATCACACACAGATACAATGAAACACCCCAAAAATTTATAAAACAAAGCGAAAACTGGAATTTAATATAAATTGACCAACACGAGGAAAAAGGTACAACATTAACAAAGTAAAAAAGAAAGACATTAAATTACAACCTATTAATCTACACAATCCTATGTCTAGATTAAAGTCGGGTGTTTCCATTGCCTCCAACAAAATGCCGAATAGTTCAATAATTCAATGTTCCAAAACACCAAAAGCCTTAGTTACACAAGAAGCCCCATTTTCGAGACCACGCTCCCCTCAACCCATTTTAGTCCCGCCGCTAAAAGAACCTGACAACACGTCATTTCAAAAGAGAGTGTTAGGCTTACGCCTAGTGAGTCCAATCAATAACATAAAGGTAACTATAAGACTTTTTATGTGAATGTATATATATATATATATATATATGGAAGACGTAATTTTAAACGATATAAGAAAAGCAGTTAAACCAAAATATCTCGCGGATGAGTCAAAACATCCGAAGATGACGAGGGAGACCCGATTTACCGTTGATTATGACAGACACAAAGTAARTCATAGATCAACGTTATAGAGCATCACTCACAGGTTTAATACCATCGACATCAACCTAAACCAGTCATGTAGTCGGYMGTGATCTTAAGCTCTTTACCTCGGTAATTACACAATAATCACAATGTCTATTACCGAGTGAAAGTGAGAGGATGATTTGGTGATTACATAAAAATCGCAATGCCTATCACCAACTTACACCATCATTCCCACGAATAAAATAAAACGACATTCATGTCTATAATTCCATCACCTTTTAGTGGCATACCCAAAACTCAACATTTTTAGCATATACATATCTATACATTACTAAGACTTTGCATAAAACCCTTAGTCCAATAGAGTATTCCCATTCGCCAATGTCATTTCGAATATAAAACGTATGGTCTTAGTGTCTTATGGCCAACAATATTTGAAGTGGGTGTTTTACCAAACGATTATACCTTTTCCCAAATTCATCTTTTCAATATGGGCGGGATCCTTAAGTTAGTTCTTCGTTTAAAGAGGTCTCCATTTCCAATCAAGTAAGTGACTTCATCTACCTAAAGTTCGAGATAATCCTAATGCAACATACCAAATATTGTAAAGTTTTATTTGTGTAAGGTTCCAATATTAAGGTAGATGAACTCACATTGTAGGATTTAGGAGAAATCCCAAGTCTTTGAATTAAAAGGTAGACGAAAGGGAACTCAAGAAATAGCAAAGAAGACGGAGGAAAAACACAGCAGAGTTGATGTCTCTGGTGCTGCTGTTCGGCGACCGACTGAAACCGAAGAAGTCGTCGAGGGGGGTGCAAAGTGGACGGGGTCGCGGCTCGGTGATGGGGTGGCTGACGCTAAGGAGGGTCAATCCGGCGACGATTGCAGCTCTAGAAAAGGGGGGTCGATGCTTGGCAGCGGCTTCTACAAGTAGAGGATTTCTCTTCACTCCAAGAGAAAGAAACCGTCCTCTTTTTTCTCCTCCCTCTTTTTTTTCTTTTTCCTCTCCATCCTTTTCTCCCCCTTCAAGACTTATCTTCCCAAGATCATGTAGAGGTTAAAGACTCTCAGGGAAGGAAGGAAACCATAGTGGGGATGATGATTACTAAAGTGAAAGGGTAGGACAACCCAAAAGATAGTAGGTACCCCCCTTTATGACACTAGCACTACTCTACTGATATCATTACCCCTCTCCTTTTCCTAAAAAAAGATTGTTTAAACAATAATATATAAATATATATATTATTATATAAATACACACACACTTAAGCTTTACAAAAAGGAGAAAAATCCRGGTGTTACAATCCTCTCCACCTTGGGTTAAATTTYGTCCTCGAAATTTAGTTCACTCGAATAAGTGCGGGTAACGCCTCTTCAAGTCCTCTTCCRCTTCCCAAGTCACATTTGATCCTCGATGATGCTTCCATTTTACCTTGACCATGACAACTTCTTTGTGCCTCAACACCTTGATCTTGCTTTCCAAGATGGCTTCTGGTTCTTCCAGTTGCTCTTAAATTCAGTTGCTCTTAAAGATTTCTTAAATAACAACCTCTGGTTTCAAAAGATTTCCTTTTGAAAGAAATCTTTAAGAGCAACTGAATTTAATCTTTCTGCCTCAGATTCCTTTAGGGCCTTAGTTTTCTTTTCTAGATCCTTAGTTATATGCTTGTTCAACTCTAGAAGTTTATCTTCTTCTGATTTCCTAAGGGCGCTTATGCGAGTCTTCTCTTTCGCTAAGTCATCTTTTT